TGTTATTCCAACAAAACCTTAAAAATTTTAAATTAAAAACATCACATTATGTTAAAATAAAACATTGATAGATACATAGACAAATTCTTACATGGAGAGTGTATTCAATTTGTGAAATCAAAATCACCCTCTTTCACTTATCATTCGTAAAAAAATTATAGAGAAACACACTATTGTTCATAGTGTGTGCAAATGAATTGGGAGGTTTTCTATTTTTCTTAATTAACTAATATAGATGTATACATTTATTGTTTTTAATAAATGTTGTTCATGTTGTAGTAGGTAAATGATAATAATTTTTGTAGATGTATTCATTTATTGTCAGTAATAAATGTTGATAAATGAGAGATATTCCTAAATATATTTACAAAAAAGAGATCTTCTTAGGTAGAGTTTCCTAGATATTTTCTATTTATGGAAAGTTGTACCATACAAGAATTTATTAATTAATGAAATATTCCAATTTTCACTTACTACTCTATTAGGCTTTAGTTATTACTTTATTGACTTTTTTCTTACTACTCAATCAAACTATACTTATTACTTAATTAAATATGACTTATCAATCAATAAGATACCGATTTCAATAAAATTTAGTTAATAGTCAATGGAATTATATTTAAATAGAAAATAGTAAATATAAACGTTACCAAACAGGCCCTTCAATAGTATTTATTATTTTGAGGTGTTGTAGGTAAACATAATAATAATAACAATAATAATAATAATAATAATAATAATAATAACTATTTTAAATTAATGTTTTAAAATTAAGTTTAAATTTATGTTTCACAATAATGACTATTTTAAAAAATTAGTATTTTAACAAATTTTAATAAATTAATATTTACGTGTCATATTTTAGTTTTTACAAATCATAACAAGACAAAATATATAGAGAAAATAGTTAAATATGGTGTATCATTAGTTTTACGTATTTAAAATTATTTTAAAATATAAAAGAGAGCACACTTTTCAAGAATTGAAGGTGACTTGATTAACACGTAATATTTTAAATAGTAAGTTTATTCATAACAAACAATAAGTGAGTAAATAGTAAATAGTAAGTATGTTTATAAAATTGTAAGTTAGGGATGGTTTGGCATAACTTATTTTAGTCTATCTTTTTATCTTTTTTAGGTCACATCAATCAACATCTCCTCTCTATTTTTCTATACATCTTTTTATAAAAAGTCAAAAAATATACTTATTTAGGAAATCTTAAACCACCCCTTAGTGTTATTTTTTTTTATTTCAAAATTAACCAAAATTATTTTACTTTTTAGAAAACCACCGTGCTTTTTGAAAAACTGCTTTACTTTTTTTCATCTAGTTTTACTATCTATTCATCCGAGGGCTAACATTTATCTTATCTATCTAATGGTTCAAATTTTTTTTTTATGTACCATACATGAAAACTACTTTCATGTATTGTAGAATTTTTCCTAATTTAGGGGTACTGAAAAAAAAAAGGTGGGTATAACAGGACACATGACATGGAATATTCCTTTAGTAAACTTTGAAAACCCTAATTAAAACATATTAAAAGCATTTTCTAGATGAAAAATATTATACAAGTTGACAAATCTCACCAATAAATGTAATATATAGAAATAAAATAAGGTAAATTACACTGATATCCTTTAAGGTTTGGAGAAAATATAATAAATTTTATAATTTTAACATAATTAAACTAACTTTCTTTTTAGTAAGATAAAGAGACCAAAACTAATACAAATAATATAAAAAATATAAAGACACACAAAGCAAGATATACAATTCGATATTAAAGAGATAACAATATAATTTATTTATTTTTTTACATGACTAACGAATTTTTAATAAAAAAGGAGTTAGATGTTATACAATTTAAAATTTAAAAAAAAATTATATATAATTATGCTAAATTTGTGAAACTTATTTTTTATTTAAATCTCAGGAGAAGTAATTTATTGTTAAAGTAAATAGTCCATGGAAAATATTAAAATTTTATTAAATAGAATAGTAACACTGTTAAAAAATTAATCGTCTTTTGAAGAAATGCAAACAAAATATTATGCATTTTAAAATTCAAGGTAGATAGTGTAATTACATTATAGGGCAAACTTTACTTTACCCCTTATTGTTTGGGTTGAGTGCAATTTACCCTTCTGACATTTGAAAATCACCATATAACCCCCATATAGTTTGTGGACTAAAGTGCACTGTTAGTTTTTTTGTCTAACATAACAGAATGTGAGAACCACTCACCTATGTAGAGAGTAGGTTCATTTTGAAGACGAAAATACCCCTTACACAACTTCAAATTTATAAAAAATGCCATTATTTTTTCTTTCTCTACTATATCTCTATCTACTTAATTTCTACATATCCATCAACACCTCATATACTTGTTGGAAAACATCACAATAACAGCACAATTCCATTCTTTTGTCTACTATGGAAATCTAAAATCAACATCTATTCTCTCTCTCTCTCTCTCTCGCTCTCTCTCGCTCTTCCTCTTTTATTTTTTATAATCTTTCCTAATCAAAGATATATATATATATATATATCAAATCATCTGATGAAGATTGAGATACACATGTAAACATAAATTTCAAAACATGAAACTTCATGTTTCGGATCATCTACCATGTATATCATCAAGAAAACAAGACTAAAACGACATACCTGAATCCATCGATGAACGGTTAAACGGAAGCGTCTGATTGTCAATAAAACCTTTGATATTGACTATGTTATTGCCTTCTAATCCTTTCCCCTTTGGTGCCTTATGTTTCTCCTTGAGAGGATTTAGAAAAACAAAACAGTGTTCTTAGCTTTCACCTTGGGAAGGAATAGGGACCATAACCTTTTAAAGGTTGTAAGTGGTTTTCATAACTGAAAGGTAATGAAAACCAATAAATTAACCATTATTGGTTTTAAAACTGAAAGGTAATGAAAACCAATAAATTAACCATTATTGGTTTTAAAACTGAAAGGTAATGAAAACCAACTTTAACCAATATGTTTTAATTTCTATTTCTGCCCCTCATAGAAATAGAAATTATACAACTAGTATCTACACATTAGGTCCATAACACATATACCCTTAAGCCTATTAACTAAATTGAATCACTTAAATTGTAGGCTTCTTATAAATGATAACACCACATTTAATTATGTGGTCCCATTGAGGCATTATCTAACAACACACACACAACATATATATATATATATATATATAGATTGAGATACACACACACAACATATATATATATATATATATATCCGTGTTATGTATTTCTGGAATCAACATGTTTTTGGAATCATAAAATTATTTTGGATTCATCAATATCATCATTCGAAACATAGGGCAAAAACCATAGAGTTTATGAATTCGAGTACAATCAAAAAGCAAAAACTATGATTTTTGGGTTTTTGTTTTGGGTTTGATATGTATATATGAAGATGAGATTATAAACTGGATTTGATATGTATATATGTATATGTATGTACACATGTAAAGTTTGAAATGGAGATGGAGAGAGAAAGAGAAGAAGAAGATGATGATGAAGATGAGGGTATAATTGTCAATTTATAACTTCTGTTAACAGAAGTTTGTGTGCATTTCAATCCAGTAACCAAATGGAGGTTATGTAGTGATTTTTGAATGTCAGGGGACAAACTGCACCCGACCCAAATCACATGGAGTAAAGTGAAGTTTATCCTATATTAAAATTATCAGATTCTTTATAGCATAAATGAGATCAATGTAATTTTTCTTTTGTCAAAATTGAGGAGTTAAAATGATATTTAGCCCAATCAAAAAAAAAAAAAAAAAAATAAGAGTGAAAAATGAGTTAAATGAGTCGAACAATTAATTATTTAAATTTGATTTGAAAATTTTATTAAGGAGTGGTTTGAAATGATCTAAATAAGTGTACTTTTTGACTTTTTATGAAATATGGGTTGGATATGGGTTGGGTTTGAAGTGATGTGATAGAGAGGTAATGTGACTTAAATAAAATGCTGTGAAATAGGATAGTGACTTTTTAATTTTTTTAGATTATGACAAATAAGGCCTAAGTTTTAAAATTTAACTTTATTCAAGTTTGGCTTGGTAAATTTTCAATTCAGTCTCAAATGAGTTTTTGCCAAGCTTAATCTAGTAATTTAGGGGTTGCTTGGGATGTCCTAAATAAGTGCACTTTTTGACTTTTTGGACTAAAAATTTGAGGAAAAAAATATGATTGTTTGGGTTATTTTTTTGATTTTTTATGGAAAAATGTGTATTAAAAAATTGTATAAATTAATATGTAGGGGAAAATTGGGATTGAGAGTTGTGCAGTCGTATTTTTTGACTTTTGGTGAATAGTGATAACTTTTTAACTTTTTGGATAACTTTTTGACTTTTTGACTTTTTAGACATATGCCAAACTTAGCCTTAGTATTTTATTTAGTTTTAAGCTAATTAAATGGAATAAAAAAAATAATTGACTCAATTTAATTAGAAAACATTAACAAATTTTAATTTGTATTTAAGATTAATTTGTTTCCTTAATGAATTGAGCGTTTCGAATTTTTAACGAACTAAACACGACTTCAAGCTAATTAACCATTTTCATAAAGGAAACTTATGTATAGGTTTTTAATAGGGGGACTTATTGTCCAATAGGCCCTGTAATAATTAACGGTATTTTTCATTAAATATTATTAAAAAATCGTCACTAATTATTAATTTTCAGCGTCAATTTAAAAAAGTTGCCTCAAAAAATCATTAATTATAAATTTTAGTGACAGTTTAAAAAAATCGTCACTAATTTTCAACTTTCAGAGACAATTTAAAAAAATTGTCATAAAAAAGTCACTAATTATAAATTTTAGCGACGAATTTATAAAATTCGTGACAAAATAAAATTATTAATTTTAATGACATATGCAAAAAAAAATTATTTTTAGTGATTTTTAATAAAAACTAATTTTCAATATGCCTTAAATGGCTATTACATACCTTTTCCATTATTCATACAGAGAAGAAAAGAAGAAATGGCGGCAACAAGTGATGAAGAAATGGAGTCTCTGCTTCGCTCTTTCGATCATATATACGATGTATGTCTCATTCAATGAATATATATATATGTTCCATTTCATGATTCTCTCTCTCTATTGAATTCAGATTCATTCACTTTTTATTGCAATCGAAATTTGAAATTTACCTAATTTCTTATATATTCTTATTTAGGACGTGAAGATTGGAATCACACAGATTCAATCCTTGCAATCAAATTGCAATGCCGAAGTTAATAATCGACAAGTTCTTCAACTCATTTCCAATAGCCTCAAACTAGGTAGTTTCACCCTCGAACTCCATTTTCTAGTTAGTCTGTTTGGTTCCCGAGAAAAAAAGAAAGAAAGTAATAGAGTACGGAATTTAAGGTTTCTTTTCTTATCCTAAACAGCTTCATGTCTTCCATTTTGTTTTCTCTTTTCTTCTAAACTGTTTTTTGTTCTAAATAAACATTAAAAAAAAAATTGAAGATGGTACTGCAAATGGGTTCGGTGAAACTATTTCTGAAAGCAATTAAAATTTTCCAAAACAACCTTTTTTAAGTTTCAAAAAATCAGATTCATAAAAAAATAAAACAAAAATAAACACAACTGCGAATTCAGACTTCTCAGCTCGCCTTGTGCTGGAGGTTTAGAAACAATACAATAAGTTCTACTGTTTTGACAAAATTATACTGATCTCCCATCTAGTAAGGTTAAATGGACCAAAATAAATTCAGATGGTGCAAAAATATAAAAATAAACAACGTAAAGTATGCATTTTGTGTAAAAGATATAATAATATTATTTTTTCTATCCATATAACTAATAAATTATTGATGAAAAGGAGGTGTTTTTTTTTTTTTTTAGAAAAGAGGAGACCAAGTGTTATATGAATTAAAATCTCAAAGGAACTCAATGGAATTATCCCAAAACTGTGGGGTTTATTGTATTTTCTCTAAATCTCAAGGGAGGTTAGTGTAATTTACCCAAACAATAATGTAAACGGGGCCAAAACATTTCTACCCTGGAATATGAAGGCATGAAGTTTTTCATTTGCTGTCATGCTCCTTCCCTTTATTTTTGTCTTTCTAAATTCTCTTGCTATGCAACAGGAGGCCAACATTGGTTAAACTATATTGAAATTAGTAGATTGTCAATTTATTTCAACCAAGTTAGTTTGTTGTGGATTGAAGGAGCATTATTGAGATGAATCACCAGCATTACTGGACCAGCCCATTGAATTTTGGCAGATGCCTCATTTGGTGATTAGAGCACTAAACATTATGGCATGTGAAAAAGGTCAAAATCTTACTCAATTTGGAGTAACAACTCTTGGGTAAATTACATTTTACCCAGTCGGAGTGTGTTTTAGGACCTAACCACAAGGGGTAAAGTGTGATATACCCCTTTTTGCATATCGGTAGGCAACTTAATGAAAACTTTTTTTTTTTCTTCACCCGATTCTGTTGTATCAGCAACCACTATTTTGCAATCGGAAAAAGAAAAATTGATATCTTTTACCTTTGCATGCTGGCATCTCTTTTTTATTTAGGACACATATTTGCAAATAATCAAAATAAAAGATGTTATACACAGATAATGAGAGGCTGACAAAGCTGTACACAGAATCCCTTAACAAGTTGGCTGATCAGGTGAACCCTCTTTTTTTCTTCTTTTTTTTATTTTATTTTAATCTTTGAATTCATTGAATGAAGATTTCCTTCCAACTTATCTTTAAATTAAACATATTTGGTCAAATAAGTGGCGGATACAGTTGGATATACACTTCTATTGACCTAAACTTGTACATTACTATTCTGAATTTTTTGAGTTGTGGTGGATCATTTTCATGACATAACAGCTTGAACGTCGGACCAATTGCCAGAGCTTGAAAGAAGAATTGGAGAGAACGAGAATTGAATATCTTTGGAAGGAAAATGTAAGTATTCTATTTATATTTCAGGCATAAAATAAATGCATGACATCTCATAAGGATTTCACAGAGCAATGAAAAGAGAAAAACAAAAAAACCTGTGACATATCATGGTTTTGTTTTATAAACTTGATGTCTCTGTTGTGGGTGAAAAAAACCTGTAACATTTTATTGGACTGGAATGCACTATGAAGTATTGTCACATTTAGGGCTGGAAACGAGGCGAGCCAAGTATTAGAGTGTTCGAACTTGGCTCAATCTATTTTAAGGATGTTTGAGCTCAAGTCAAGCTAGCCCAACAAACCTCAATTACCATTTAAGATTAGTTTAGGACCCCATTAAGATGATCATCAAAGTCATCTTGACCAAAACTAAATGTTGATCCATATATGTCTTGAATCGATTACACAAATCGATTATGAGATTGATTTTCAAAACATAATGGTCTTGAATCGATTACATAATCAATTAGGCCCCCTGAAATTCAACTTTGCTCCATGTAATTCTATCCACCTAAATCCCTTTTTTAACGCCCAAATACACAAAATACACGGTTCAAAAGTATTTAAAAAGTAGTGAGAACTCATTGGTAAATTGTTCTCTTACTATTCGTTCTTCTAGAATTCCAAACATCAAAAGGGAACATGTAGGGTTCTCATTTTAGCAAGCATTCAACACATGATCATATTTCATGCAATGAGTTATGTCAGGTACTAATGCATTTTCAGTAGTTGGGAAAATAGATCTCTAAGTATGCAAATGATAAAGATGATGAGCATGATTACGAAATGCAAAAGTAACACTTAGGTAGTGTTTGGTTCATTGGAATGAATATGGAATGATCTGATCATTGCATTAGAATGTTCGTTCTCACGTTTGATTTACTAATAAATGATGTGCATTGCAATTGGAATCATCATTCACAATTGTTAGTGAATGGTCATTCCGTAGGGAGGCCAAGGAATGAGCATTTCATGCCATTCCACTTTCATTCCAATGAATCAAACATAGCATTAGGGTGTTACACAAAACACATTAAATGTTCTTTGATGTGATGGCCCATCTCACATAGAATCAGGTACAAGTATTGGGTACGGGTGCTTGTCTAAGTATATCAAATATTCATAAACCTAAACGAGTTTGAATGAGCTGCAAATCAGCCGAGTTCATGCTGTTCATGAATAGCTCGGTTTTTGTTTCCAGCCCTAGCTACATTACATAATAATCTACTGCAACAGAAATAGTAAAATGTGTAAGCAGGAATACATGACTGCTATGGAATCACTTCAACAAGGTTGTGCTGCAAAGATTAACGATTTGGAGACTCAGATCAGGTGAGTGTACAATCAGAGACTTAACGATTTGTCTAATTTTTATGTATATTTCTTAAACTGAGATTTGAAATATTGCTCATATCAGAGGCTTTCTAATTCAAAAAGCCGCAGATGAAGCAACCATCAAGCAGCTCCATGAAGATTTGGATCTGCATAAAATCCATTTGGAATCTCTAACAAGCAAGTTGGAACAAGTTCATTTTGATGTGGAATCGAGATGTGAGGTCCCAAGGAAGCCAATCATTAATTCCGGAAATTTCACACTTGTCTATTTTTTGAGAACTGTGATTATTAAGTCTGCTGATATTTTGTCTCAGATCATCGCGAGATTCAGGATCTAAAGGATTGTCTTATGGCTGAACAAGAAGAGAAGAATGAGTTAAACAAGAAGCTCCAGAATTTAGATAAAGAATGTGAGTTCATATACATTTTATATAATAGAAATAATGTGCAACTGTTTTAGATGAACTTCATATTTATTTTATAGTTGTTTTTCTTTTCTCTTGTTATATTGCAGTGCTAATTATCAGAACAAAGTTATCCGATCACCAACGTGATTTGACTTCAAATCGACAAGTTGAAACACTGAAGCAGAAAATCATGAAACTGAGAAAAGGGAACGAGGTTCTTCAAAGACAATTACATGGTTTAAAAGACGGTTAAAGGGTTTCGAAGGAGGTGTTTTTTGATTACAGGCTATGGTAAAAGTGATGGTGATCACAGTTGAATACTTGTTGTAGTTAGTCCAAGAGCCCGAGTGATGATTGGATTTGTGTTATGTAGACCAAAGTCTCTTCAGGAATGAAGAAAAGCCTGCTGTGGACATTCTTTCTAGCTTCACTGATATATGGCAATACAGGTTTTTATTTATTTATTTTTATTTATTTATTTATTTATTTTTATTTATTTATTTATTTATTTTATGGTAATACATATATGGAGATTTTTTTTTTTTTTTTATGGATTTTGAGATTTTAAAACCAGATCATTTTTTATTTTTAATTTTTTAAAGTGGCAACATGCACTACAAAACCCAATTGTTCATTTTTGCTAATTGCAACCCATTGTCCTTGCCCATTGTTTAAACCATCTCAATCCTGACTGGGTTGTGATATAATCCAGGTGCAGGGCAAATAAAAATTACAAACAAGATTTTCAAAAATAAATAAATAAATAAATAATACCAATTATAAATAAATAAAGGGCTTGGGCCATAGGTTTAATTTTTGGACTTTTGATATTTAGACATTTTTTTTTTTATATTTATAAAATTGATATTTTTGAATTCGTCCTTTTAAGTTTTTCAAACATGATTCATGTTGAATACAAGATTTTGAAAAAAAATATTTATGTGTACTTTTAAATTAAAAAATAGGAACATAAAGAAACTTGTGCACTTTTAAATTATTTTTAAATTAAAAGAGTGAGATAGATATATTTGTCCACTTTTAAATTAAAAAATGGGAATAAATAGAAATATTTATTGACTATTAAATTTAAAAAAAAATAGGGACAAACATATCTATTTGTTCATTTTCATCAGACCATAATTTTGTGCTCCATAGTCCTTTTTGGATATATATATTTTTATTTCATATATTTTTTTCAAGATCTATGCATTCAAAATTGACTCACATCAGTTTGTGCACTTATTTTATTAAAAAAACTTATTTTGGGGGAAAAAGAAAAAAAAGAAAAGAAGATTGTTTGGGCTTCAAATTTGTATTTTTTTTTTTTTTGGCATAAATCATGAAACACAAGATGAAAAATCCGTGTGATTTGGTCCACATAATGGGCCAAGTTCACTACCTATTGTTCTGAATTGTGATTTACAGGAAATACATTATAGTTGCGTTGCTTGACTTGAATTAATTTTAAAATAGGGACACATGTATATCTGTAGATTTTTTTTTTGCTTCATAATTTCATATGCAATATCTTGTTTTAAAGATCTTGAAAATGGAAAAACCAAAAAATATATATATTTTTTGATGAATTACACTAACCGTCCCTATAATTTGGGACTTGTGTTGTTTTGGTATCTGATCTTTCAATTGTGAAATATTTGACCATGAATTTTAAATCTTGTTCTAAATAAGGAAAATTGAAAATACCATTTCCTTTGCAAATGAAAAATGCTCAATTTCAAAGGTAATGTTATCAATTTGCCTCGTTTCCCACCCAAATAAACCTACCCCTTTTTACTTCAGGAATTAGGGCACCATTAGAGTTCTGATTTGTTGGTGATTGCGAGCAAAAAAAATAGAATTTTCACCATTAAACAAAAAGTTGTAGTAGATCAAAGTGAGAACTATTAACATATTTACACAATTACAAGCAAACGTTGGTGTTGAAGATGGGTATCCGAACGTTTGTGAATGATATCATCCTACCGCAATATGGTTTTCTTTTTTTTTGGAAAATTTTTATTTTGGTTGATTTTTTTGTGACATTTCACATTTGTTTTGACTTGACTTTTTTGAGATTATTTTTAATTTTTTTTTTTGAAAAAAAAAATAATTTAATGAAAATAAATATCTAAGAAAATTTAAATCTAAAAAATTATTTTCACCCTCTCAAAGGATAATTTATATAAAAAAGATAAATGTTTTAAATTTTTTTTCACCAATTTAATTTTTTATTTCTTATTATTATTATTTTTTTTTTGAAAATGAATTTTGAAAACCAAACCAAACTGAACTTTATAACCAACAAAGTGCCACCATTATTCATTAAGAAAAATGTCATTACATTAAATGATTCTACTTACATCACTAATTTACCTCTTTACACCTTCTATCTCATTATACCACTAAGAAAAATGTGATTCTTATTACACCCATTATACTACCAAAACTAACCATAAACTAAAAATTCTTCAAAACCCTTTTAGTTTTGTCTTTACATTGATAGCTTTTGGTAATATAATGCCATAGAATTTAAATTATTCCAGCGCCGTCTTACTAGACAGACTAATTTTTTTAGCCATTTGTTGCTGTTCGATTAGATGGTTTTACTTTACTTTAATAGGAAATTAGTTGGAGCTCATCTGTGAACTGTCTGTTCGGTGATACATTGCTATACAAATTAGATTACTTTAGTGTCATATTGCCGAACTAAAATAAATTTGTCTAGTCAACTATTGCTTTACATGCGTTGTAAATTGTCTTCATCGTTATTGCATGAAAGGTATTTGTTCGTTTCAATGTAATCAACATCTCTTTTGGTCGCATTATACTCTTTGACACGTCAACTAATAAAGATGATTGTACTTATATTGTTGCAATGAATAGAAGCATAATCATTTCAAACAAATATACATATACATATATATAAAATAAAATTGGAAATGCACGGTAATGAATAACCGAACAAATTGGGTTACTAGAAATGTATCTCTTATTCGGTAGTGGGTTACTGGACATATACTTTTTGTTCAACAATGTGATTCCAAACTATTTTATTTTGTTCGATTTTGACACATCGAACAAAAGTCAAAGAATTCTCTCAAAAAACAAAATAAAAACTTACCAAATATCCCATTTTGACCGGATTACCTGATGATGAAAATAAAAATGTGTTTTTCACAAAATTCTCAGCAAAAAAGAGCTTTACTCTTCACCCTAAGCCTATTTTGGCCAAGTGTTTAGGTCCCATCGGGTACCGGAGCAAAGCCGGACTGAACTGGAACAAAACAACCAACTTGCTCTCTAGCCGGTCGGTCGCTCAGTTGTCTGGTCGATCGACAGACCAATCGACCACCCAGTGACAGATTTCCCAGATTTTTGTCAGTTCGGGTAGGGGATTTCAAAATCCCATTTTTTGACCCATTCATGCATTGAATGCATACATTCTCAGCCTCCATTGCCTAGTGCTTGATCCATTGAAGGTAATGCTCCATTTTTGTCTTCCATTAACTCCATTATCTTCCCTAAATGCTCTATTAGTTTTGTCTTCCGCCATTGCTCCACTTGCATTGCTTATATAAGGAAAGCTTAAGTCTTGAAATTTAGGGAGATGAATTTGAGAAAAGTGTAGAGTTGAGTTTGAATTAATGTTTGAGAAAGAAAAGAAAGCCTTGAAAATAAGAGAGTTGCATTCCCAAAATAGTGAAGTTACTTAACCTCTATACATCTCATCTTCCTTTACAAAAACCACTCAAAAACCAAGTCCTAAAGTCTTGATCAAAGATAAAGTATTGAAGAAGATAAAAAAAGTGATCATACACTTGTTCAAAATCATCATTCTAGCTCAAATTCCAAACTCTTGAATTGAGGATTAAAATCATAATTCACAACCTTGAAGGTGATCAAGAGGAAATTTGGAAATCAAGAAGTTCAATCTTTCTTTAGAAGGTAAATTTTCAAGTCTCTCATTACTATCTCAAATTTATTTTCTTACTTTTGTTTCATTTTGTTATGTAGTAATTAACCAGAAACGGTTAGTTGTCAATTTTTTCATTTTCTTGTTTTAAGTTGTATGTTAATTTTATTGTAATCCAACCGGAAGTGGTTAGTTGAGCCACCTACATATTCTTTATTTGTTTTTTTCTCAGTGTTGCAACAAGACAGATTTGCTAGGCCGAGTTGGGTGGCCGGTTAGCTTCGTTTTGGATGAAACGGAGTAGTCTTCCGATGTTGAGCATACCAATTTCCGGTGGTCTCTAAGGCGCATGAAACTTCTATTTTGTTTTCATTTGAGTGTTTTGTGAGGGTTTTTTCTTTTCATTTTATTGTATTATTTTCCTTCTCCCTCTCTCATTTGGTTTGTAATTATTTATTCAAAGTGTTGTAATAATTCCCCTCAGCGCTTTTTTCTATCCTGTTCTTTTACTTGCTTTCCTTATTTGTACATAAGTATCATATTTTGCTTTGCATCATATCCATACTTTGCATCTATGTTTCATGTATCTTGATTCGACTAAGTTTGTATCTATTGATTTAATCAATTCTTATGCGATTATGTGAGCTACCTCATGTTCTTGAGATGATTCACATGTCATATATTAGAAGTCAAATTTTTAGTTGCATTTCATGAGCGGATTGCATTAGGATGTTGTATATAAGATCATGCATGTTTTGCCACTTTGTTTTGTAACTGTTCGCAGGACGTCTGTAAATATGTAAGTTTTTGTGCTTTAGAATCCCGCTTTTGTGTGTTATATTTCTATGTTTAAGCATCCTATCATATGACTACTTGCTTACTTGATATAATTGTATGAATGCCTACAGATGGAAGTTGTATCGCTTAATTTGGAATGATGTTGATTTTCAAGTTTGTAAACTCAATTTCTTTGAGTTGTATATCTTCAAAACTCTTTCAATATACATGAAATCAAATTATTTCAAAATGAATGACATAATCTATACTTGTTTGCTATATATAGTAAATTTTAGGCTTTATTAAATATATCGGAATATGAATATATAAAGTGAATAAAACTCATATCATAGTTTAGTAGAGTGCTCAATTAATGTCATTCTCCTCTCATACTTAAGATTTTGAGCCAAGCATCCTTGGTTATAATGAACAATGGCCTTGGCACGAGTTATGAGTTTTCTAATTTTCTCAAAATATTAGGTAGCGATTCTAATATCTAGTGATGCAATCCATTTATGGCAATGGTTTTGCAATAAAATGAATTTTCTATAAATGTTGTCAAATCTGGATCCTCATTTATGTTTCACATGGCACCCGTGACTAAATCAAAGAAATCGAGGGTTTGAACTGTGTAACGCACACCGGTACCCCTCAGGTATGTTACATCAAACAAATAACAAAAACTCACCATTTCACTTTTTGATAGTTCTTTATCACCGTTTCTTCATCAATTACTTTCTTCTATGATCAAAACACTATGATTCTCATTTTTT